TATATATATATGCCTGTACTCATGCTAAGCGAAGTTAATTTTGTTACTCCCTCTCGTTCGTATCGGTTCTGCAAGCAGCAATACTATGCATGGCTACCCTGTGTCTAGGAATAACACGAGACGCATACCCATACACACGATACGACCGCGTATAGGTGTTCATGTTTGTGCAAAGAGAGGATGCGTTCACTCTTTCGCGCGGTAATCAATTTCACGTGCTGACAGCTTCTTCTTCGGAATTATCAGATTTAATTAATGAACGGATTAAAAAGGTGGGTGGCGGGCCCGTAGATTTGGCACGTAGGTGTGTGCTGCTGCATAGTGCAATTCTGCATAGGTTGCTGAAGCTAGCAAACTCATCCTAACAAAAATTCCCACACGTTTCATACAATGCCGCCTTAAATTTGTGCATTCGCACATTACGAACGCGATTACTGATCAGTCAGTTTGCTTGCAAAAAGATGCATCTAATGCTAAAAAGCTATATTGCTTTTGTTACTTTATAGCTAAGGTTTTAGCTTGCAATGACCTCCCCTCTTACCTGCTATATTCTAGCATCGGCTAACTCACAGACATGAGTGTGCCCAGACATGCATTGGCTGACTTACAGGCTCGCTGAGAGCTCCCTAATGTACATCGTTACAGAGGAATCGCGTGCACACCCACGGTGTCATCTTACTAACAAACCGCGGAAACCGCGGAGACAAACTCACTAAAAAAATCCCTCCCCCCCGCGCCCTCTACATCTCTCTTTCCCGCATACGCATCGCAGTACGAGTATACCCCCCCCTCGCCTACCCACCTCCCTCCCTACATCTGTCTCCCGACCCCCCATCTACTCCGCAATACAGAGATTGTTCTTGTGACCACTAGGGGGAGCCAGCGTACCTGAGAGACCACCGACGTCCATCTTCTTGAGGTTCTTTGCTTCCAGGATTACGACGGTGAGCTTTCCGGCCGTCGGTACGTAGCGTAGCGAGAAGCACAGGTCTCCCAGCTTGTTCTCCTGCAACGCACGCATAGAGGGAATCATCCCTACTGTTCTCCCGCGCGGGGCAAGCGCACCCAATGACCCCCTCCCCCCACGGATGTATTTCTCATAGAACTCCTTCTATCGACCATTCTCAGTCGCCTGTTATTCTCAAGGTATTAACCCGGTAAATCTCCACCCAAATAAGATGCTATGATCTATCTCGAAGTGTCTGTCTTCCCGACCACCTGCGAGCGAAAGACGTTCAACCTCCCCCCTCCCACGCCTACGTACGTGAACCTGCGAGCCTTTCACGGGTGCCCGACTGAGATAGAAAGCCCCCCCCCCCCCGGTGTGTCCCTGGTGTTTCTCACTAGACGCTGCAGGCAGGGCCCCTGCTTCCCGCCAAGTTTCCATCTATCAATAATGCATGCGCGAGTGCCCGCGTGGGGCGTACGCTGCAATCGCCCCGATGCGAAAAGCCGATGCATTAGTAATCGTAGAACTCATGTAAAATTCAAACGCCGCGGACGTCGAGTAAAAACCCGGGAGGATGTATACTATGGCTTGCCTGCTGCTGCTGCTGCTGCTGCCGCGTGGAGCCGGTGCTAACTCTTACATCGTTTAGTGCAACAATTTCGCCAACTCGATCAAAAACTACTACGATGAAAATATGGCCCACCTCGACGTGGAAACGCGCAGATTTTGAGAACGCGATAGGAAAAACATCCTCAGTTGAAAAGACATACGGTTGGGGTTCAGCCGGGGCATATAATTCCTACTTGGAAGCACTGCACCTACTAAGCTACTATACATACACCGAGTGATATAAAACACACACAAAGAATAGAGTTGGCAAGCGAGCTTGTTAAGAAACTCAAAAAACCGTTATTCATAAGTTCGCGTTTACCAGCTCAAAGAAGCATCACTTTCATAACTACGAATAGTATGAATAACAGACGTATGTGTGACAATAGGTTTTCAAAGGAAGATCACGCATTGTGCGTCTATTCCACACACGCAAGTCAGCCGCGATAGAAACACGAGGGACATCAGCGGCTTTCGCGACAATTTCGTGTTAAACTCGGCAGCATTTAGGCAGCATACAGCAACTCGCCGCTCGAGACACTCTTAAAGTCCTCGCAAACTTAATCCGATTGCGGGCGCAAACACTTGCTGGCCGGCCTGTCGTCGTCGCTTAAATCAAGTTGAGTGCAAGACGCTGCGTGGCCAATCGCGGAAACCTACAGTAACTGTAATCCCAGCTTCATCAAAACTCCCGCTGCATCCCGCACGCAGCCACACAGGGCTGCATCCACATCCCACACAGATCTAACCTAGGATGGAGAACCCTGCATCCCGCACAGATCTAACCTAGGATGGAGAACCCTGCATCCCGCACGCAGCCTCACAGGGCTGCATCCGCATCCCGCACAGATCTAACCTAGGATGGAGAACCCTGCATCCCGCACGCAGCCACACAGGAGGCTGCATCCACATCCCGCACAGATCTAACCTATGATAGGGAACCCTGCATCCCGCTCGCAGCCACACAGGGCTGCATCCGCATCCCGCACAGATCTAACCTATGATAGGGAACCCTGCATCCCGC